GCATGTTTTTTAGATGAACAATTTGTTAAAAGTCATAAAATACCTTTTGTACAGAAAACTAAACCCGTACATGTAGAAGTCATTGATGGCCATCCTTTGTCTTCTGGAGATGTCACTCATGAAACTTGCCCTATAAAAGTAACAATAAACGGTCATGTTAGCTACATAGCTTTTAACATAATTAAATCCCCATCCAATCCAATTATTTTAGGTTTATCCTGGCTAGAAAAATATAATCCTCGAATAGATTGGAATTTTCGTAAACTTGATTTTTCCCAAAGCATTATTAATAGTTCTACCAACCAAGTAAAAAGTTATAAGTCTAGTATAGTAAAATCCGTACTTATAGGTGCAAAAGCATTTATACATGCAGCAAAAGAAGGATCAACTTTTGATATTTATGCTACACCTATTTCTGAAAGCGTAAAGACTTCAAGTGGCATTCCAAGTCAATATCAGGATTATCAAGACGTTTTTGAGAAAAAGAATGCAGATATTCTTCCTGAGCATCGCCCATATGATTGTTCAATCGACCTCAAGGAAGGAACTCAGCCACCATTTGGACCAATTTACAGTTTATCGCAAGATGAGTTGGCTGAACTCAAGACATATATTGATGAGAATTTAGCGAAGAATTTCATACGCCATTCAAAATTTCCAGCAGGAGCTCCAATTCTATTCATAAAGAAAAAAGATGGATCTTTGCGAATGTGTGTTGACTATCGAGGACTCAACAAGATCACAATCAAGAACAGGTATCAATTACCTTTGATATCAGGACTCCTTGACCAGTTGAATCAAGCTAAGATTTATACAAAAATAGATCTAAGAGGAGCATATAATCTAGTACGAATCAAGGAAGGAGATGAATGGAAGACTGCGTTTCGAACCAGGTACGGACATTTTGAATATAATGTCATGCCTTTTGGACTCACGAATGCACCGGTTACTTTTCAACATCTCATGAATGATGTATTTCGTGAATTCTTAGACAATTTTGTCGTCTGCTACCTAGACGATATTCTGATCTATTCTAAGAACGTCGAAGAGCATGAAATATATGTTTATTAAGTATTACAAAAACTTAGAGATGCAAGATTGTACGCCAAGATGGAAAAGTGTGTATTTCACACTACTCAAGTTGACTTTTTAGGATACATCATTTCAAATGATGGTCTCATGATGGATTCTAAGAAAGTCCAGACAATCATGGATTGGAAGATTCCAAGGACAGTAAGAGATGTCCAATGTTTCTTGGGATTTGCCAATTACTATCGGATCTTCATCAAAGGCTTTTCACGAGTTGTAGCTCTACTTACACGCTTGACCAATAAAGACAAATTCCAATGGAATCAAGAAGCGGAAGCAGCATTTGAAGCCTTGAAGACATCGTTTGTCTCTGCACCAGTCTTATATCATGTTGACTTTTCCAAGGCATTTTTTATGGAAACAGATGCATCGGATTTTGCCTTGGGTGTAGTTTTGTCACAAATGGGAATAGATGACAAACTTCATCCGATAGCTTTTTATTCAAGAAAATTCTCAGCAGCCGAGATCAATTATGAGATCCACGATAAAGAACTGCTTGCAATCGTGGATTCCTTTCAAGAATGGCATCATTATCTAGAAGGTGCTTCTAGTCCAGTCAATGTGTATACAGATCACAAGAACCTCAAGTATTTCATGTCAACACGCGTGTTGAATCATCGTCAAGCTTGTTGGAGTATGTCTTTGTCAAGATTCGAGTTCATTATCACTTATCGGCCAGGAAAACAACAAGGTTTGTCCGATGCCTTGTCTAGACGTTCTTATCTGGCACCAAAAGAAAGAGATGCAGCTTTTGAGCAACAAAGAACGGTCCTCTTGAAACCGGAGCAATTTCATCTCCGAGCAATGAAATCAACATTGACTGTTGATTCAACTTTTCTCAAGCAAATCCAGTCCAGTATGTCCTTAGACCCTCTTGTTCATGATATTGAGAATAATTCTTCCAAGTCTCATGATTCTTCTAAGTTCGAGTTCAAGAATAATCTATTATATTTTGAAGGACGCCTATATGTTCCAGAAGGAGAAGCACGTTTACGTGTTCTTCAAGCACGTCATGATTTTCCAGCAGCAGGACACTTTGGATATAATAAGACTTTAGAACTCATATCAAGAGAGTTTTGGTGGCCTCAAATGTGGAAGTCAGTCAAAGACTTTGTACAATCATGTAATATTTGTTCAAGATCAAAAACTCCTCGTCATCGACCTTACGGACTTCTTCAGCCATTACCTATACCAGAACAACTATGGTCTTCTGTTTCTATGGATTTCATCACAGATCTTCCAAGCTCAAGATCTTATGATTCTATATTTGTGATAGTAGATCGTTTCACCAAGATGGCACATTTTGTGCCATGTATAAAATCTATCACAGGTGAAGAAACAGCTAAGCTTTTCATTGATAACATCTATCGCTATCATGGATTACCTAAAGATGTCATATCGGATAGGGAAACTCAATTTGTGTCGAGATTTTGGAGGACCCTTTTCAAGATTTTAAAAGTGGACATAAAGCTATCTTTGGCTTTCCATCCTCAAACTGATGGACAAATAGAGCATGTAAACCAAGTCTTGGAGCAGTATTTAAGGTGTACCATCAACTACCAATAAGATGATTGGACAATCCTTCTGCCATTGGCAGAGTTTGCTTATAATAATACGGTACATTCCTCCACGCAACAAACACCTTTCTTTGCCAATTATGGCTATCATCCACGACTTGATGCTTTTGATTTTTCAAAAGTTGATAATCCTGTAGCAAAAGATATGGCAAATCGGTTGTCAGAGTTACATGCAATAATGAAGGCGCAATTGAAGGAAGCTCAAGAACGACAAAAGATAAACGCAGATGTATATCGTAAGCAGCAACCACAACTCAACATAGGTGATAAGGTATGGCTACTTCGTCGTAATATTAAGACCACTCGTCCTTGCAACTAGTTGGACTATTGAAGGCTGGGACCATTTTCTATTTCTGCACAAATCAATCCAGTTGCATATCGTTTACATCTACCGAAGACAATGAAAATCCATCCAGTATTCCACGTGTCTCTTCTTGAACCATACAAGACAGTGGACATACTAAGAAGACGACAAGCTCCACCTCCTCCTGTAGAAGTGGACAATACTGAAGAGTTTGAAGTAGAAGAAGTCTTAGATTCAAGGCGGCGCCGAAATAAAATAGAATATCTTGTCCATTGGCGCGGATATGGTATTAGTGAACACACATGGGAGCCAATGAAGAATCTTACAAATGTAGCAAAGGCAGTGGAGGCTTTTCATCGACGATATCCATCAAAATCAAGATGAAAACCTTCTTTATAAAAGAAACAACATTTAGGCAAGATAACATTCTACTTTCAATTCTTGTTCGTAGCTTCGTTGTAGTAGTGGTGCTCAGGAGATGGAGAACCAACAACCAGCTGATTCAACTCAAGAGCCTTCATTTGCTGACTTGCTGGACGAGACATTACGATTGTCTCAACCTTCAAGACGATGCAATCGAGATGAAGATCTTCAAGAACGACATGTTCTTCCTCGAATAGATGGTGAGATACAACGCGTTTGGTATCACGATTTGGAAAGGGAATCCCGATGTTTGGTAATTTTGCTAGAGGTAGGAACAACTCCTGATGGTATTCTAAATATTCTATTCGAAGGAAGTTACGAAGGCCTCAACAATGATCAAATAACTGGGTGGTCTTCCCGCCCTGGTATGGGACACTACTGATGGTTGAGAGGCCCTATCAATCATCTTCGAAGAGAACAGAGATCAAAATATGTGGCGAATACAATTCGTCGCATCATAGATTTCCTCAACATATGATGACCGCTCCTCGTGGAACTCGTCTCTAGAAAGGGGGGTAATGTCACGGCCATAATCATGTAAGCTAATAATTACATATAGAAATAGGTAGAAGTAAGTAAAAGTAGATAAAAGTAAGTTAATTCTATAATATTTAATATGAAAGCTTCCTAGAAACTTCCTAGATGCTGCTTTGACTTCATAGGTGTCTTTAATTGACTTTTTGAATTAGAAACGTGGTCAACAAGTTGGCCATGTGCTACACATGTTGTTAGCTTGAAGATCAAGCTAACTATGTGGCCCACACATAGAAAAACTTGCCTTGTAAGTCAAGGCATGTGTCCTACAAAGTCAACATACATTGGAGGTCCTATAGAACGTCGCCACGTAGCCCCTAGTTAGATAGTATATATAGAGACAAGAGTGAAGGCTTCTTCACTCTTGTCAACTCCTTTCTTACTTCTAGTCTAGTTTCAAGGGTCTCTAGTTTTCTTGTCTTTTGGCAATAGCCATTCCAATTTCTCTTATAATATATATACTTATATATTTTGTTACCTCTCTTTGAGTGAATGCTCACTTGTTTGAATTGTTTTTTCATCGAGTTCTTGTCCGTGACACTAAGGGAATTTGGAAATTTTATGAAAATTCATAAAAATTCATAAAAACCTGAAAGCACTTAGAAATCTAACATGAACCTATAGAAACTTGGAACACATGGGAATGCACATGAAAATATGAACACTTTTTTGTGCTCAATAGTATGTATTTCTACTATATATCTATTTCACAATATACTTCTTCAAATATGATCAAGATTCAATATTCTAAAAAGAATGAAGACAAAAAAACTACCATAAATGTAATTTATTTTAAATTTCTTTTAACTTAGTTACTTAAGTAGCTGTAGTAAATAAAAAATATTTTTTTCTAATTATTCTAAAGAGACATAAATGGTTATATTGTTATGTGCATATATATAAATATAAGTATATTTATAGTGGTAGTCGAATGAGTTGGGAGGCCTCCACCTCAACGCTCCAAAACGTCCGAGCGTTCCCAATGAATGAACCGTCAAGCGGATCATTGCGAACACGGGGGACTATGGGAACAACGCACGAGAACAGGGGGCTTAGGGCTTCGGGGATCGGACGGCGGAGGGCAGCCTGGGCCATCGGAGCCCCCAAGGCCCGATTGCTGTAAGGGTTTCGTTGCTCCCTCTTCTGGCCCTCTCTCTGATGCGCCTCTCTGCAGGTCGCCGTTCTCGCTCTGTCATTGCTGCCTGTGAGCTCGCCCAGCTATGGTACGTGCCCTGCTTCGCCGCGTTCTCACGTCGAGCCGCTACCCTTGCAAGCAATTCTTGTATGTTTGGTACCATTTTCGACTTACATTGTGCTCTTCTTTTGTTGGGTTTTGTTCAAATCAGGCTTTCATCAAGCCTAACAAGACTAAGGCCTACTTCAAGAGGTTTCAGGTCAAGTACAAACGAAGGAGAGGTGCGGATTTTTTTGTGGCATTTGTCACCCTCACTGTCGAAGATCCTTGATCTTGAATCTTTTCTGTGTGTCGTTGGTACAGAGGGTTGTATCGCTGGGGTTTCTCGTTTTAGGTTTTCTGCTGGTATTTCTTGTTGCGGATCTGAGATTGTGTGCATGGATTATGCAGCTGGTAAAACCGATTACCGGGCGAGGATCCGTTTGACCACTCAGGACAAGAACAAGTACAACACCCCGAAGTACCGTTTCGTCGTTCGTTTCGTATCCTTCTGACTCTACATTTTAGAGTGCAACGCTACTGGACAGAAGTTAAAAGATGTAGTTTCACTCTTTTAATTTCTTGTTGGGGGTGACAACTTCAGGTTACATTCTCAATGAACTCTTTTGGTATTATCGCCAGTGGAGGTATGGCGTTGGAAATTTTTTCTAAGATAAGCTCTGTAGGGTTAGTGTATATGGATATCTTCTGTAGACGTAGGATTTTTTGCAAGTACACCTTGACTCGTTTCAGACCAATAAGGACATTGTTGCCCAAATCACCTATGCTACTCTTGCTGGTGATATTGTGCTTACTTCCGCATATGCTCATGAGCTGCCTCGGTATGGACTCAAGGGAGGACTTACCAACTACGCCGCTGGTTAGTTCCAGGACTTTCTCTAATTCAGTATTGACCTATCAAGTCATTTTTCTTTCTTCTCAGGATGCTTTCTTTACCCGAAATTTATTGATGTTGACGATTTTTTCTTATGTTTCTGCACAGCCTACTGCACTGGCCTTCTCTTGGCCCGCCGTCACCTGAAGAATTACGACCTGGATGATGAGTACGTCGGCAATGAGCAGGTGCTTTCTTCTCACTGACTACATTCTCCCACCCTTTTTGTTTTCATTGAAATAGTAGGTCTCATTTCACATGAATGGATGGGCACTGCTCCTTGACTTCGCCCACTAATTGTAATCACTTCACTCCCTAGGTACTCTGGTTTATAGTGGAAGTCTCGATGCGACAAAGAAGGGTATACAGAGCATGTGAGGCTGAAGGCTAGGTTCTTTTCAGCGATGGGAGATACTTCGCTGTGTAGCTCTATCTGTATTCTTCTCTGAAGACCACCTAACGAATTCGCCTTGCGTTTTTTTGTTTGTAGGCGACAGGTGAGGATTACAATGTTGAAGAGGGCGAGGGAAAGAGGCCTTTCAGAGCACTTCTGGATGTGGGTTTGGTGAGGACCACCACTGGTAACAGGGTTTTTGGTGCTCTCAAGGTATCACGCTCGATCACCTATGCTTTTTTCTCATCGTATCATGTGTAAGAACCAAGATATGTATTTACCTAGATTAGTTGCAATCCAAAAATTTCATCAGAGCATAGTTCCATGGAGTGATTTTTCATTTTACTATTATCATCAAATGGAAACGAAAATGTTCATCTCGGTGAGGTTCTCAGTGGTCGGTCAAGTCCATTCATATTTATATCCTGGTTTTCTGTCATATCTTTAGGGTGCTTTGGACGGTGGATTAGACGTTCCCCACAGCGAGAAGCGCTTTGCAGGTTACAACAAGGAGGATAAGTCTCTGAATGCCGAGATTCACCGCAAGTACATTTTGGGTGGACACGTCGCAGACTACATGAAGGTATGCAAACCTATCTTAACTGCAGTCGCTGAAATTAGGACACCTCATGTTAACAGTCTTCGTTTTAATTTATCTTCATATTAGATTCTTTTAGAATTCTTCTGCAATCCTGCTGTCAGCTTCTATCGACTTATGTTGGTTGTATTTGAGTGCTGTCTGTTTAAGTGGGCAAATTATCATTTCAATTGGTTCTCACCAAGCTTTTATGCCTTTGGTACGTGTTCCAGCTTCTGAAGGAGGACGAACCTGAGAAGTACCAATCTCACTTCAGTGGATTTATCAAGGCTGGCGTCGAAGCTGAAAATCTTGCAGAAATGTACACAAGTGTGCACGCTGCTATCCGCGCTGACCCTACTCAACAGAAGACTGAGAAGAAGGCTCCTGCTGAGAAGAGGAAGTGGAAGATTCAGAAGTTGACCTACGATGAGCGACAGGCTGCCCTGGTTAAACGTCTCAACGCCATCAACGGCGAGGATGAGGAATAGACTTAGAATTGTACGCTTGCCATTGTGATTACAGATCAGCATGCAGTAGGAAGGGTCTTGTCCCAGCTTGCCCATCTGGCCTGCTAATTTGTATGCATTCGGGTATTTAAGGTTCGCATTTGGTCAAGTCTCTGGTACTGACTTGCATTTCCGTCTTTCCTAGACGCATTTTTTTGTCTACGCTTGCTGTCTTCTTAGCTACACACCAGTCTGTCCTCAGTTTCAAGGTTTAGGGTTGAATGCAGGATTTCAAGTACATCTGACATTCTTGATTACGCTGCATCGGTCCAAGTCTGTCTGGTACTCGATTGCCGCAGGGAATCAATTCAGTAACGATAATATATGGATGATTTGCTGATGTAACTAAAACAATGGTTTACGATTAAGGCATGGATTGCCTCTATCCTTCAAGTCTCTAAAGTTGAGTCTATCGAAGGGCCTGGAGTAACTACATGGGCAAACTAAACAATCTCTGGAAGTTCGTCCCGATACCTAATAGCTGCATGAGTCATCGCCCGATGAAGCTGGCTTCAGTTATTAGACCATCTTCCATACCATCGAGTGCTGTGATGGAAACCAAATCTTAAATGACTTTGAACGAAAGGGTGTGAGACGGACTCAATGGTTGCCTCCTTGATAAACTGTAGACCCAATTGGACCTTCTACTGAAGAAAAATTACGCTCAAAATTTAATAGAGAATTAGGATTGTGCAACTAACTAATTTAGTGATGGACACAATCAGCACAGAGACAGTAATGAGAAGAGAATCAATGTAGGGCGGATACTCAGTGCATGTTCAACGGTGAAATTTGTTTAATCACAAAAGCAATTAGATTTATCATCTGCAGCAGAAAATCAGAGCAGATCTCTGAAAATTATGCAATGTAGCACACTATGAGAAAAAAAAGTTCTTGAAAATAATACAAACGTGTTTTTGATTCATTGAACCTTCTTTGATGCGAAAAATAGGAAAATGTGAGGTTCTTCTCTACAATATAAACTGAGAGACAAACTATAAAGCACATATTTACTAAAAACGCATGAATTAAACTTTGTTCTGTGCCTATAATTCTTTAATTAATGCTTGTTGTCAATTGGTATGGTGTTTTTGAGTAGCTTGAAGCCTAATTATTATGGGTGTAAATGTATATGCACGTATATATCACAAAATTTTAAATCCTAAAAAATGCACTTTTTGTTATTTCTTGTGACTTATAAATAATAGGACATTATAACGAGCTGACAAAATAATAATTTTGCTAACTTGTTTTGCTACATTCAAAGTTTGTTGCATTTCATAAGTAGAAATTTCTGTTGTAGAAAGTAATATTAATGTACATTTGTTGAAATTATTGATGAAGAGTCTTGTGTATTATGTTATGAAATGAAAAAAACTCAAATATTAATAAGATATTATGGTACTAAATATCATGAATTAATTCTAAATCTTAAATTAGTGCTTAGACAATCTTATTGTCTAGTTTAATTTTTATAATTCAAACATAAATTCCATGATATACATACATACATATATATATATATATATATATATATATATATATTATAAAATTTCTATAAAAAAATACCTGTGAGATTAAGAATACAAATGATATTTCAAAGAAATATTTTGAGTTTGTATTATTTTAGCAAACAAACATTTAAAAACAAAACAAAATATATAAAAACAAAAGTTATGTCAACAAGAGTCTAAATAAGAAGTTATAGATTTATAAAAATGAAAGTGACTTGAGACAATTTTATTATATGACTTTTTTCAAAATTGTTGAGAATGTGTAGATACAAGAGTAGCTAGAAGTAATGTACACACGAATACACACTCACAAGAGAGTATATAGAAGGAAAGAGAACTTTTTCTCTATGTATTGATGTAGTTGTCTCATTTATACAAAGACAAGGGGAGAAGTTAAACAATTTCTCTCCACTACATTCCAAACATTGTAGCTATGGTATTTACTGTAAACTATAATAAATATTATAGAGACTCCTCGCTACATTTAATGCTCTTAACACTCCTCCTTGCTCATCACAATATTTACATAACATGAAATTTGTAAAGAATTATGATCTATACTTTTTTGTAATCTTGTAAGATCAATAGTTGCTGCCTCATTAATACCTTATCTGAGAAGACCTTATTGTATTTAGGGGCAAAACCATAAATGAAAGAAAAAGAGTACAACATCATTTTTCTTAATTATTTAAAGTATTCATTAACTTTCTTATTCAAGAAAAATAAGTCACTGCATGCCAATGCCATAAGTAAGTTGGCAATGGTTATACAAAGGGAGAGCTTTGATGAGGAGATCAACAAGATTATTTGTAGATTCAATTTTCTTCATCATAAGTGCTTGATCAATAATCAAATCATGGGTATAATTAAAATACTTTGGATCAATATGCTTTGTCTTATTGCCTTTAATAAAACCAACTTACATCTGTATAACATAAGTGCTATTATTGTCATATAAGATAGTTGGAGAATCATCATATGAAAGTCCATAGGTTGTTTGAATGAGTTTATCAATTGATCGCAACCAAATACATTCTTGCAATGCTTCATGTAAGGCAATAATTTTTGTATAGTTTGATGAAGTTGTAGTTATATTTTGTTTCACTAATTTCCATGATATTGTAGCTTCAAGTCTTAAGAATACATAGCATGTTTGACATTTAATTGTTGCAATATTATATTTATATCTTACATCACAATATTCAACCAATTTTTAATCTATAGATTGTGTGTAATATAATCCCAAGTCTTCAGTGCTATTTGAACAACGTTAAAAATGTTTGATGCCATTCTAATGTCATAGTATTCGACATGAACTATATCTTATAAAAATACTAATTGCAAATGCAATATCTGGTCATGTAGATGTGGCTAAATATAAAAGTGCTCTAGCCACTACAAGGTATGGATATTGATCTCTTAATATTTCTTCCTCTTCTTTGTATGGACAGTATGGATTATCACTATCATCACTATGTCCAATCATTGGTATTGAAAATGAATAAGCATCAATCATATTGAATCTCCGCAAGATTTATCTAATATACGTTAGTCGGTAGAAAAAAAATGCTACTATCTTTGAAACGTACAATTTGAAGACTAATGTAAAAGGTTGTTTTTCCTAGCATTTTCATCTCAAACTCATAGATATGTAGGTTAAGAGCTGCAATCCATGCAGATCTAGTATCTACTAGATTAAGATCATTAACATATGCAACAATGATTACAAAATCAATTTCATCTTGTTTGATAATTAAACAAGGAATTAATAGAGCACTTAAAAACTTATTTGTAATTAAATAATCTTAGAGGTGTTGATACTACATGCATTCAGATTGTTTTGGACCTTACATGATATTGTGTAATTTTATATCCCAATATTGACTTAGAGCAAGTCCATTTAGAGTTTTTGTTTCTAAATGAGGTAGAACTTTCATATAAATAACTACATCAAAAGAATCATACAGATATGTAATTACTACATCTATGAGATACGTCTTAAGGATGGCATGAATTGCCATTCTAATAATATATCAAAATGTAATTAAATCCATGATTAAAGAATATGTAGATTTATAATCAATGCTAAATCTTTGGATAAATCTTTGAGCAATAAGACAAGCTTTATAGCAGGTTATTTGACTCTTAGCATCTTACTTGCATATTAATACTATCTTATATCTCACAGAACAAGATGTAAGAATGTCCACAATTAGACCAAATATATATATTTTTTTATATGAAGAGGCATATTCTTTCTCAATGACAATTTTTTATTTTAAATAGTTAGAGCAATGCATTGCTTCCTCAATCGTTGGAGGTTCAGGATCCTCTTTCTTGTAAAAAAGAGCTTTTGCAATCATGCATGCAAATGATTCATCTATTATAATAAATGGTCTATTCCAAAATATTATTTGTAGTACAATATAGAATAGATAATTATATATTCAACTTAAATTATTCTTCCTAATTTCAAGTTTTTTTATTGCATGAGGTGAAGATTTAATTTGTATAGACATATCAAAATTAATTGATGGTCTTGTAGATTTATTAGGAACTTCTATAAAAAAAATATCAGAATTAACAATTGTTATAGCTTTTTTCTTTTGTAGTTGCTTATCTGGTCCATGAGTCTTTTTAATTTTTGATGTTATAACATAAAGCATATTATTTAGTAGTATTACAATTTGAGGAAGTATATTATAAGCCTCATTAATGAAAACTCTTGTAATCCCACGTATATCATTGAAGCCATTAGATATTTTGTCTATGATCTGTTTTAGATACATCTTGACAACTTCAGTTCTAGTCAAAGATGTTCTAAGATCAGGATTCATTGTAAATATTTTTTGTATTCCAATTACAAATATTCTATTTTTTTGTTGATTAGATATTCTTTTTTGAAGACATGAGAATATATTCTGTTTAAAATGAAAATTTTAAAAACATGCACATAATACTATACTAGTTGATGGATCAATAATATGAATAATGTTTGGTGAATCAAAATCAACATATATGCTTTCTTATCAATAAATTTCAATAGTACACTACTGAGGTTTTGGTATTGGAATCCAAGCATAGCAATCAAACATTTGTAGGTGAGATATAAGAGGAATATGACTTGAAATGAGCTCATGTGATATAATAATTTTAAGAGAAGAAGAACAGAGGTATATTAATTTTGTAGCATGAAAAATTACATGATCCCACATAAATGCAAATAAATTTGCTTAATGAAAGAATGGTCAGGTAATGAATTTTATATGCTTTATAAATGATTCTATAAGTCCATTTTGAGTATGTTCATATGAAACACAATATGTCAATTTAGTCCTTGTTGCAGTACAATAGTCTTTAAAAGACTTTGATGCAAATTCTTTTACATTATCCATATGCAATTTTTTAATAGGATAATTAGAAAAATGTGCCTAAAAATGAATAAGCATAGATACAAGATTTGTAAATACCATATTTTAGGTTGATAATAATGAAAGATGTGATTGTTTGCTTGATGCATCAACAAAGATAAAAAAAATAATGAAATGTTGTAGATATTGGATTAATAGGACCATAGATATCACCATGCAACTTTTTAAGTATTGGTGGTAATTCTTGTAGGAGTTTCTAAATTGA